CCACCCACTCTTTGAAATTTATCGTTTACGTCTCTCGATCTACAACTTCGGAAATACCCTATCATTTGTTCTGTGAGGAGGCTCGATGGGATTTTAGCTAATTCCCCAGGCCACCCGACAAGCGTTAATCCCTGTGGTGTTTAAATCAATAAATACACGTAAATGGTTAATATATTATATTAGTGCATAATCTTGAAAAAGAAACTGTGGCTTTTCAATGTTTTCAAAGTAAATATTACAATAATATGGTATACATATTAGATAGATATCTATCAGAAATCAGATTTGTTAGAAAATTAAAGTTGATAGAAATCGTGAAGAATTGATTCATGGCATAATTATTAACATTAAAGTATAATAAAAATATTAAGTAACTTCAGTTAACAATTTTTCTGTAATAATAAATAAAATTATTATTCAAAAGATCGCTGATTTTGATCCTCTCTCATCGGCCATCTTTCAGCAAATTACCTGATCCCACGCTGCAGACACGTTTAAGATGATGCCCTGAAATCTCGTTTCTCTTTGAATTATAGAAAAGTTTTTCCCTTTAATAAGACCTCTTTCCCATAGTGGCCCAGACATCGAAATAAGTTAACTAAATCAAATCGAACTAACAATTTTTGTTTAGAGGCACAAATATTTTCCATTTTCCATAAAAACGTCATATTACTAATTAGTTCAAATACATACATATATACAGTAGATTCAAAATTTTGAGAACTTGTTAACTTTTTACTTACTCTAATGATGAAACTAGGAAAACATTTCAAAAAGCCATCTTGTTTAGCGTAAAACTTTCTAAACATGAGACCTAGCGCAGGTCAGTAACTTAAAAGGCCGAGAAAATATACATTTCGAAAGTTTGGCCAAAAGCAGGTCGTCGCTTTTTTTGATGTGCAGTGTATAATAATAATAAACTACTAATTTATATTATAATTCATAAATGATGCGCATCTCAGAGCTCCAGTTTAAGAAGCAAGTTTTTGCATTTTTTTTAAAGTTCCTGCTTGCTTTTAAATTCAGTTTGTTCGCATATTTAATTGTAACTTTTTTCCTTTGAATATTGGCTTGAATGCTTAAAGAATCGAGTGTAGTATTTGAGTAGAGCGAATTTATCGTTGGTCCTGTAGTCATGACATGGGATAAGAATTTTAAAATCGTTTGGGTGGTCGCAGACAGTATTGATATTTTATGGGTTTTATCATCCAGGAACTGCAATTATATTGAGATATTTAAATTTAATAGAGACAGCTGACTCTATATCTCAGTCGAAGAAAAATCCCAAAGCACTTTTTTGAAGTAGGAAACCCGTATGACGTAGGTCCATGTCACTGCCCAAGAAAGCCATGTTACATGTGACATAAGAAGAGTTGTAGGCTGTTAGCAGTTGAGGCTGGTGTACAACTGGTTTCGTTCTCTTGATTCCATCCACCGTAATTTTATGATGTAAAGATAGTAAAGTTCAATTTGTACAGAAAAACCTCGTGATTTCCACAATTTCCAATTGCCCACCCTTAAACATTAAGGGAGTTTCAAAGCTATGGGTTTTGTCCTGCTGAATTACACATGATGATTTATAAAGATTCAAGTCCAGCTTGTTAATAGCAAACCCACTGGTTTGCCCTAACTAATATTTCAGCAGTTTGACAGCATAAAGAGAATGACCTTGTACCACAAGGTTGGAATCACCAGCGTAATTAGTTATGAAACAGTCAGGGACACTAAGTTAGCTGGGCTGGTGGTTAACGTGACGTACTCCCATTTGATAATTTTTTATGCGAGCCGACCACACGGATTCATTGCTACTTTTAATATTCATTGTCGACACCCTGAAGACCTGGAGATAACCTCATGTCACAAAAGTAGACCCGTGGGAGTGATGTCACAGGAATTCGATGACCACTTTTCGTGGTTAAGCTTGGAGGTGTGCTCGAGGTGCTTTCTCGATGGAAAAGACTTTCTTGAAGTCTGTTAACCAAAACTGTGACAATCAGGAGATTCATTTTAATGTTAACTTCAAACTCTTTCGTAGTTCGCACCGGTTTTATTCACTACAATTCAGTTTGACCGGACTTTAGACGTATCTTAGGGATTCAGAGTAAACCACCAACGACCAATGAACCCACTATTTATCACTCATCATTCATTTCATAAAACATCACGTGTGTATTTCAAACGTTTTTGTAGGTTTTTCCTCTCTCAGCGTATTGCTGAAGCGTAAGTTGATGCGGGGCCAGATGGTGATGAGGATAATACGAAGTGGGGTTTGCGCTCCCCAGGCTCTGCACCCTTCTGGCTTATTGTACCTTCCTAGTTCCCTAGTTCAGTGCAATAGACTCAAACCTTCTTCTCATGTGTGTAGGTCATTGACTGTCTCTGCTACAATTTCATTCCCTAGTTTTTTTGTGTGTGTTAGGTTAAATCTCCATTGAGCCGTTTCGTCGCTTTCGAAGTTGATATGGGTGGCTGTTTTTTCCTCCTCATTGCATAATTTGCAGATCGGACATCGTTATGTATGACCATGCTATGTAGATGTTGCCTTAGATGCCAGTGACCGGTTAATAGTCCTATCACTCCTCTGAGTCTGGCTCTCTCCAACTGCAGCAGACAATTTGGCAATCATAGCTTATTGTGTCTAGCGCCGACAGAGTTTATCCACTTCTCCTTTTGTTTTATTTTAATCCATTCTGCGATGGAGGATTCTGTATTTATTTTTATCCTACGAACAGGTCGGGATTTATGGATGGTCTTATCATACTTCTTTTTCACTTTCCCCATGTCGTATAGATGATAATTAGCAATGTATTTCGAATGATGCTCGACTCACACTCATAAGTACGAGACATGAGTCTGGATTTTGTTCTAAACCTCGTCAATATATTCATAGTTAGTCGCCCTGAGCCCTTCTTCCTTTCTGAGGACGTATCACCACTGTTGCATTTTTCATACCGACGACAGGCGGTGTGCTGGGAAAAGATTTTCTCCCTTTCAATTTAAAAAATCTAGCGGTATTAACGACTGTAATTATCCATCCAGTTGTGTTCTAAAATTAATGATTTGTTATGAGACACTTTTTATCTGTATGAGGTTTTAATATTTTGTGCAATAATTATTCTAGTAAGAGTTCTGAATTTACTGGAAGTAGCGATATTGGTCATGGGGAATAGATGATACGGAATCGTAAGCCCCCCCCCCACCAAAAAACTCTCATTACCTTATTGCCTCATCAAATAAATCGTAGGTTGACGTTTCCTTTTTTGTGTAATTTTTTGTTCGAAATTTCATCTGTTATGCGCTCAAATCTGGCTGTTCTTGTGTTTATAGATTATTCTCTTCATGAGCCAGTTTTTTGGAATAACAAACTTAAATACTTACTTCAGCATTATGAGTGAGGTTTAATTTGGCATAAATATTTGTTCTATGTAATTTGAAATACATCAACTTTGTCGAACAAATTTTAACAATATAAACATGTGAGCCTGCAATTTCACTATAATTACACTAATTATCATTACCGTTTCCATAGTTTTTTAATCTTTATATTTGGTAAGAATAAATTTTCATTGTATTTAACGTTTTAAAATGTGTGTTAGTGTTACATTACTGTTGCAAAGTGTTTAAAAGCCTGGACAATGTTAGCACGATTAAGCTGAGTAAGTAGATGGCTTTTCTCGTAGTTAAAAAGTGTTACTCTGGATCTCGGTATGGTCTGCATAAAAAAAAACATATTTAGTTGTTATCCCAAGATTTCGACCTATTTTATGGCATCGAAGCAGAACAATCTTATAGGTGTCTAAAAATTGACATAATTTAATTTTTAATAAATGGTTTTTAATAACGTTACAGTTCTTGTCAATGTTTGGACTGAGTCTGTCTTCAAAGAAATTTGAAACCATTTATTAAAAACCTAATTATGTCAATTACAGACATCTTTAAGATTGTTTTGTCCTGTTAATGACATAAAATAAGCCGAAAGCTTGGCAGTTACCAATTGAATTTTTTAAAATTTTTTCCAGAGTATTCCAGAATAAAAAAGTGGTAACAACTTTGACAGATTAAAAGTTATATATGACCAATTTTCGTTTATTTTTTTAAACGCAAAAATGAGGAAAAACGAAATTTATTTAAAAAAATTAAAGAATCAAATTGAATTAAAATTAAAGAAATTTTTCTGAAGTAGAGAGCCTAAGCAATATACATANTATATATAAGCATAAAAAACTTGTTGGTTTTTATGATGACATCGCGATTACTGCGTACACTTTTCATGGTGTTCAATTTAAATTAAAAATGCTTATGGAGTACTGTAAAATCAATGACCTCTAGGGAAATACACTGAAAACTACAATAAATTGTGCCATTTCAAAAAACCGGAAAGAAGCAGAATACCAAACTCTTTACATAGAATAATGTCGACTCCCATCCAATTCAATGATTTATTTAGGCGTGCCCTTTTTCTCCTCTGGGAAATTTTTTCAGGCTTCTTATTTTGTTACGAAAGTATGCGCTTCAATTCCCAGAGTTTTGAACAAGTTGGAATACCTCAGATACGATTGTTGAAAACATAAAAAGACTTATATTTTCTTATTTCGTCCGTACTATTATATTGGTCAGAGATTTGGGCACTCGTCCATAGTACTGAATTGGAAAGAGTACATATAAAATTCTTAAAGTTCATTATATTGGACGGGGAGTCGAAATGGGAAGATTGTGGCATGGGCGATCGAAGTCACCACGATAGCCAAAGTGGTAGAGCAGCGGCGTATTTAACCGAAATTCGTGGGTTCGAATCCCGCCTGTGACACAAATTTTTCATTTCGAAAAAATTGTGTATACTTAATTGAGTAAAAGAATATTACTTTAGAAAATCTATTGTATTTAAAAGAGTTTATCTTTCCAGTTAGAAAATTTTATCCTATTGATTTTTAGAAATATCATAGACATTACTGATGTTCAAATAGTTTATTGCTTTCTCGAGTTACAGCAAAAGTTAATTCCAACTTTAAACATGGGTCCACTTAGAAATATTAAAAATGTATGAGATTATAAACAAGGAAAGGAACGACTTTATGCTGAGATTCAACCTTAAAGATCTCGGGTTATCCATCGCCCAAGAACCTTCGTTAAAGCTTTGTTCATATTCCGCTTTACAAATTTTACAAATTTCCGACGGAAATTCCCTACATTGCCAGGTAAATAAATTTCCACTTTCGTGGAGAAACAAAATCGAGTTGTAATAGTTATTTTAATTTTCCATTCAAGAGGCCTCTTAAATCATTAATCCAGAGCGGATGCCAATGGTTAGCTTCCTCTATATTAATGTCACATATCAAAATTAAATCCATTCTGCTGGTTGTGTATAATTCATATAAAGTTATAGAGATAAATAAATGATGCAATTTTTTCCATTCTATTTATTTCCATCTGGGCGTAAAGGGAAAAAGTAGTACTCGATGACCCTCCTGCGCAGTTATTTGGTCTACCCCGTCGCTGACCTCTTATCTTCTCTATTGATGATATGGCTACCGCTCTAGGCCAGAACAAAAAAACAAAAAAGAAAACAAACCCTAAATTTTAAAGTTCAACATTTAACGTCAGAGTTCAAAATAATTTACAATTTAAAAAAACTGATATACTATATTTATTAAAGAAACAGCATGACAGGTGTTAATACAATACGAGTAATAATGTAATACGAGTATTGTCGAAAAAATTGCGTTCAATATTTTTGTGACGCCTAAAATCCTTTTGTCACAAGTCCCACTTGTTATACCTAATCCATGCGAAAGAATGAAATGAAAATGGTTATCAAAAGAAGAATATCCCAATATTTCGTCCATGCACAAATTTCCCATTCCTAAGTTGGTGAAATTTAGAGTTACGTAAAACGTGAATTGAGAACACGCACCTTTGAGAAGTTTAAGACATCGATATCTGTCTACACTTATTTCGCTAATAGTTTTCAACGTAGTACACATTTCGCTCTTACTTGATTTGTCACATATTTCTTTCATACATTCATTAAATGGCAATAAATTTCCTTCTAAAGAAAAAGGTACGGGTTTGACTTGTTTCGTAGGCAGATTAACAACAGTAACTAATTGACGTTTTTCTTCCATGTCATCGAGCACCTCTTCCAAGTCTGAATCGATAATCTGAATGGGCCAGTCCTTTCGCCGATCCATTAAAAAGTAAGAAGCCAAGTACTCCATCGGTTTGAAAATCCTATTTACTTTAATAATGCAGTAATTTGCAGTGGGGACGAAACTGAGTACAAAAACACCTTTTTTATAGTGTTTATTGAATTCTGGGTGTGGGATCAGTTCTTGAATTTCGTACTCTACATTAGGATCTATTCCAAGCCAAACTCTGGTCTTTGTGTTGACAAAGTGAAAACTTAATCCAAAAAAATAAGTGTATCTTGTAACCAACCTGTCACTAGACAGCCATATTCCAATGTAATGATTCCCGTTAAAGTTGATCACTGCTGAGTTTTGTCCCCACTGAATAAAGAGGTCTTCTTCTGTCCGTACTACTGTATAAATCAAAGTGCACAACATTATAGCAATCATGTTTTATGTCATGTGATTTTAAACGCATTTTCAAAACCGAGAAATTCGAACCTACAAACAAGTAAAACAGATAATTAAGGTGGCATGTAAGGTAGATGTATTTATAATAGAATTAAATGTTTACTAATTAATACTGCTAAGTAATACTGATCATACAGCTGAACAAACGTGTGCAACCTTCCTGACCGACAACCTTGGTGTATTATGAGTTACAGAACCCGACAATTATAATCGTGATCTTTTGATTGCAAAGAGAAAAAGAATGCTATTAAATTTTAGAACTAGAGAAGGTACCGTTGTGACGATTTGTTTAAACGCTACAGTGAATATTTAATACAAAGATTGATCGCATTATCCAAATCGACATTATAGCCTACTTAAAAAAATGGAAACACAGTCTGTGTTTATCAGTGGAAGTGTTAAAATCTTCTGTTATCTCCAGCACATCGGATTTTTCTAGTTACCTTGCAGGGAGTACTGTTTTTTCTCTCTCTCTCTCTTCTTTTTAAAAAAAGTATTATTATTGTTTTTGTTTTTTAATTTAAATTACGTTTATAGTTTTATTTTATTTCACTATAAGGATAATGTCTTTTACTTTGTTATTTTCCTTTCCCCGCAGAATCTGATGGAAGTCCCGCGGTCAAATGGTGTAAGAAATATGTCTTGATGTCTCTCATCCCTGCCTTAGGAAAACCTTCAATGATTATAGTCCTTTTCGGGTCTGTAAATTTATAAAAGGTTACTGTCCGCAAATTTCTCAAAAATGGTTCAATCCTATTAGACGTAAAACACGAAAAAGATTTCCAAAATCTGAAGTATGCTTCCACTTTCGAAAACATGTATATTAAATATGAATTGCATAAGTCACTAAACTACTCAAAGGGGGTAATAATTGGAGAACTTTTACGGTGTGGCAAAAGCGAAATTGAAGATGAATTTAAGTCGCAGGGAATATCTGGAGTGAAACGTATTTTAAAAATGGTAAACGGTCTCAAAACTCCAACTCCCACCTTAATACTCACATTTGAAACATCCGAATGCCTGAAAAGGTATCGTTTGATTTTTTTGAACGTAAGAGTCCGACCCTTTGATCCTAATCCGATACTATGTTTTGCGTGCTATTGTTATTGGCACACACAAATCTCATCCCAAAACAGGATCCGCGGCGAATGTGGAGCACACAATTACGGAATGTACTAACGAGCCGAGGTGATGCACACCCATCTTTAAGTCGACAGTGCCCGGTATTCATCAAGGAGAAAGAAATTGAAAAAATAAGAAGCAGAGAAAAATTTCCCTTATTACACTTAATCTAATGAAAAAACTACAGTGGAATTTAAACGGTCTGAACCGTCACCGAGACGAAATTAACTATTTAATTTCAACCTTACAATTAGATATTCATTTAACACCAAACGTATAATTAAAATGTATAAATTTATCCGCAATTCGAAGACTTTTTGCATTTGGTGGTGTTTGCATTTTAGTGAAGGATGATGTTCCTTATCAGTTATCAATGTGTAACTTGCAATTAGTTGCAATAAATATATTAACCCCTCCACGGTTTACGATTGTCTCCTTGTATCTGACACCTGGTGCACCTTTCTCCCAAAATGATCTTACCTCTATATAAGATCAATCACACACCTCATTATTATTCTAGGTGATTTCAACGCTCATAATCCAATATGGGGTGGGGGTAGATGGGATAACTCAGGGAAAATAGTTGAATTTGTTATGGATCTTTGCAATCTTAACATCTTAAACGATGGCTCTGCCACCTATGTTTGCCCTCGATACGGAAAACTCTCTACTATAGATCTAACACTAATTAGCCCCTCGCTACAACCTGAGTTCCTCTGGCACACTCTAGATGATTTACACGGAAGTGGTCATTTTCTATATTGATTACCTGCATTTCTCACAACTACCTAGTCAACAAACCTTCAAGGTGGCAAATCCAGGAGGCTGACTGGTTGATGTTCCAGGAAGAAGTGAACCTCGGGCTGCTAAATCTCACCGATAATGACTTAGGTTGCTTTCACCTCTTAATGAACTTCTTTTAGAAGCAGCTTCTAATGCAATTCTACGGTCTTATTCTACACATGTAAAACGTAAGAAGTTCTTTGGTGGAATAAAGAATGCGAACAGGCAATTAAAAGTAGGAAAAAGTGTCTACGACAATTTATGCGTCGCCCTTCAACACAAATCCTTGACAAATACAATGCGGCCAAAAAGCCTGCCAGATATATTATCAAAAAAGTAAGAAAAATTCCTAGTGACAATTTCTTAAGAATACCACTTACAGCACTTCCATAGCTGTATTCTGGGATACAGTCAGAAAAATAAGAAACAAGGGATACACACCGTCCATAGCATACCTCAAAACAGAAAATAGGGAAATTGCTACAACCACTGCTACCCTTGCCAACATTCTTGCCATGCATTATCACGATGTATGCGCTACAGCAAACTATATCAATTCCTTCATATCCATTAAACAAACCCGGGAAAAAACTCCTGTAGTTCTAACAGATTCATCTGTTCCGCTAAACTTTCCATTTACCGAAACTGAATTTATGGTTGCCCAAAGACATTTCTCCTGGCCCTGATGACATGTGTATTTCATTAATCAAAAATTTAAAAACTTCGTATAAAGCAATCGTACTTAAAATTATTAACAGAATGTAAGGATATGGGGAGTTTGCAAACATCTGAAAAAACCGCGTTCACAATAATGATCCTTAAAAAATAAGCATCCGTAGGAGGCAAAAACTATCGACCCATATCCCTAACCTGTTCCATGTGCAATCTAGCTGAAAAGATGATTACACTGTTATCTAGAAACCCGAGGGTTGCTTCCTGAATGGCAAAGCGGCTTTAGGAGAAACAGGAGTGCAAGGGATAATCTTCTAAATCTAGAACAAGCTATATGTGACCACTCCAAAACAAAAATAAATTATTTGCGGTAATTTTAGACATACAAAACGTGTATGACCGAACAGGGATACGTCTGATTATAGACACGCTACAGAGTTTAGGGATTTCAGGAAGTATGCTACTATTTATTATGAACTTTCTAGACAGAAGAGGTTTTCGTGTGAGATGTGGCTCCGCTTACTCAGGGAGCTTTGCTCAAGAAAAATGGAGCCCACAGGACAGTGTGCTTAGTGCTACACTTTTATGTTTAACCTTTAATAAGGTACTTAAGCATATTCAATCGCCGTGTAGAGCAATGGTGTATGCAGATGATCTTTCATTGTACTGTCAGGGGAAAAAACGCCACAAGAAGACCTGCAAACTAGTCTAAATGAAGTTCATGAGTGGCTATGTAATAATGGCTTTACTGTCTCCATTGAAAAGTCAGCAGGAATTCTGTTCTCTAAAAGACGACCTAGTAGCAGTCTTGTTTTGTATATTTCAAATAACTCAATCAAACTCGTAGATCGAGTTCCCTGTTTTGGAGCTATCTTGATAAGAATCTAAATTGGACTGCTTACTTCAAAACTTTGAAATCCAAGTGTTCCCAAGCACTGAATGTCATGAAGACCGGAAGCTCATGTTCATGGGGTGCTTATCGCAAGGGGCTTGCGTGTCTATACAGAACTCTTGTGCGATCGCGTCTTGACAATGGGGCTATGGGGCAGATGCTTATGGCTCAGCCTCAGCGAGTAAATTTGTATGCTTGACCCTTTACAAAACACCGGACTTAGAATAATTACGGAAGTCTTCCGGTCCAGTCCCATTGAAAGCCTCCATGGCGAGCTTTCTTTAAAATTCCGACAAAACTTGTTAGATCTAAAATATTTTTCCAAAATTATTTCCTGTGCTGCACACCCACTTAATTATTTTTTCCTGGTGGTATCCATCCACATAATAGTCAATATTCTATCAAGCTGACACCTTTCTCTGCTAGGATGTCGCTAATGTTACTGGATATACCGTTCACGCTACCACCATTGCAGAAAGAAACTTATTCAGTCATACTCCCTGGCTATTACCACAACCAAAAGTAATATTGTCACTGTATATACAGAATAAAAATGACACTCGTAGCTATATATATATAAGAGTAAGCTACCCTCAGCAACGTATGTATATTCGGATGGCTCTAAAAGCCCTTATGTGGTGGGAGCAGCTTATGTTGTTGGAGACAGAAAATATTTATTCTCCTTAAATTCAATACAGCCGAAATGACGGCAATAATTAAATCATTGAATATTGATTGCTCGAACACTGGTCGTATTCACTGACTCGATTTCCGCCCTACAGGCCTTGAACCACCGTTCTCAAATAACCCCATGGTTCAGGATGCCCTTTATTCATTGAGGTGTCTTTCACATGGGGGGGAGTGTCATTTTTGTTTGGATCCCTGGGCATGAGAATATTTTGGGCAACGAACTGGTGGACAGAGCTGCCAAAGAGGATGCAGTAAATGACACCAAAATCAGGGAGACCACAAGGAATGATTTAAGTTCCGCTTTAGAATTTAAAGTATGGACACAGTGGCAAAAGGTTTGGTCAGATGTCACAGACAATAAACTCCGGGAAATAAAATCTACTGTTCGAGTGTGGCCTTCTTCATTTAGAGTTAAAAGAAAAGAAGTGATCCCAACTAGGCTGAGAATAGGGCACTGCAGAGCCACCAAGGGTTACTTGATGGCTCGTCAGCCACCACCGATCTGTCATTTATGCAACGAGACTGTATATACAAAACATATGCTTACATCATGTCGCCTTTATGACAGTATCAGAAATAAGTACGTTTTACCAAACACACTATAAGAACCTTTAGGGGATGATTAGGACACACATACAAAGCTGTTTCACTTTTCAAATGAAGCTGATCTACTTAGCACAATTTAAATTAGCAATGTATAACATGGGACTACGTGTGGCCGGGGACGGGTCTTGGGGCTGGGCATGCTGGGGGTTGTGGATTTGGTCGGTGGTCGAGCGGGGTACAAGAGGTTTTGCGTTTTTAAACCCCAGGTGCGCGAGACTTGGGTGGCGGCACATACACTCACGTCCCCTTAAACCTGTGTCAGAAAAATAGTGGCCGCGACAACGGCCGCCTCCCGCACGACTCTGGCCTGGTTCGGTGCGGCTGCGCCCTTCATGTGTGTACTGGTTCCTCAATCCTACTTCCGCAGGGGGATTCTTAACCTTGGTGGTTTGCGTCCCTAAAACAAACAAAAATCGTGACTTTCTGGATAAATTCCATAAAGTCAAAAGTTCTCTCATTATAACAGAATAAGACAGGACTCATTAAGCCGCTCTTGTCCAGCCTCTCTTAAAAAACCTCTTTATCGTCGGGAAACTCAGTTAACTTTTCTTAAGATAACTTTTTTCGGATTTAAGTTTTAAATAACAGAAAACAACACATTTTTGCAACTTCCATTTTTTCTATTATTGATACGCTAGTTGCCAGTTGATACAATGCAAATTTGTTGAATAATGAAAATAAATGTTTTTCCATTCCGAAAGGTTTTTTCAGATGTTTTTCAAGATTTTTCTCACGGAAACATTTAAACTGTTACTAAATTATTTAATATATTAAAAATTTTATTAAGTGCGAATTTTTCTAAAGACACTTTTTATATTTATAAACGTATATATAGATAGATAGATAGAAATATTTTATTTTACAATTTTGAGCACATCAGGAAACATATAAATAAAAGTATATAATGGTGGGACGCTAGCTGATTTTTGATATTGATCAGTTGATGTTGT